GCAGATAAAGATACATCAGTGGAAATCCTCCAGGCTCTATTCAAAAAGGTTTGGCAAGAAGAGGAAATACAACCAGACTGGATGGAAGGCCACCTAATCAAGCTGCCAAAGAAAGGAGACCTCAGCAATTGTAACAACTACAGAGGCATAACACTCCTGTCCCAGAGCTGGCAACAGATGAGAAGCTCAGAGGAAAGCAGGCAGGATTCCGCAAGAACCGATCATGTGTGGACCAGATCGCTACCCGCGCATCATTGTCGAGCAATCGCTTGAATGGAATTCACCACTAGTGACACATTGCATTCGAACACATAAACTTGTCATTGCTTCGCCGAGGACGAATTGACTATTGTGTTAACAAAAAAATGGGGGTGGGGGTGGGGGGGGGTCCATTTCCCGGGAATCGACGAACTATGACCAAATTCTAGTGTATTTGGTAAGTTTTCACGTCAGAATTTGACCAGGAATACTAATATGACGGTAAATGTAACCATATCAACCAAAAATGTGTTCGAAAAAATTAGCCTGGTTAAATTTTTTGCTCCACCTGACGGGACTTGACGGTGGAAATTAAATGTTATGATCGGAGGTTTGGTCTGAATGCTCGCTGGGCTAGTAAAGTGTCCAGGGACGGTTGCTTATTGGTGTATGCAATTTTAAACGAAGAGGTCATGTTGCCACTGACAGGCATGAATAATTATTCAAAGAAAAAAACAAACTTCAGTACGCAAACTGACATTGTTTATTTACATCATCGCATGGTTTATCTCACAAATGGCACAAAAAAGTCCAAAAGCCTTTGGTTGTAAAGACGTTTTCAATACAGCAATAACATTCAATCTATGCTTCTCTCCGAAATGTTTTTAAAACTGGCATCACATCAACAGCAGAACAAAACAAAAATTCCAGTAACGACAGCGACGACGACAACGATCATCATCATCATCATCATCATCATCATCATCATCATCATCATCATCATCATCATCATCATCATCATCATCATCATCATCATCAGTCCACCAATATCGACATAATAATAATAATAATAATAATAATAATAATAATAATAATAATAATAATAATAATAATAATAATAATAATAATAATAATGATAATAATACCGGTACATAAATCAAAAGAGCAGTGAGAACCAGTGCGTCAAAAGCAACCCCGAAACAGCAACAGCAACAACATCAACCACCACAAAAGAACCCATTGCATTGAGCAAATAGCCCCGAGGATATATCAAGTATAATTATACTCTCAGAGGAAAGGGGGCAACAAGGTTGACACACACACACACACACACACACACACACACACACACACACACACACACACACACACACACACACACACACACACAAACACACAAACATACACGTACACAGAGAGAAGGGGGAGATATAGTCAAAAAGAAAAATACAATAAGATAATAAAATAAAATTAATGAAACAAAAATGATTCCCAACCTAAATAGCAAACAAAAATTAACTGTGCAGGTGTGCTTTGTATATGTCTTCTCTTCACCGAACCCTCATCAGCCGATCGGGTGGTTGGAGGGCGTCACTGATACGTCCTACTCTTTTACTTGTCCTATCTCTTTCTGCCTGTCTGTCTTACTGTGGGGTGGAAGTGAGAGGGGACATGTGCCTGTTGATAGTGTAACGAGAGCAACAATCCCTTGTTATGTTACCAGTGACCTCGTAGACTTAATAAACCAAAGGGAGGTTACTGGCTTGTTGACCACTGGGGACGTGTTTATTAAGTTTACGAGGTCACTGGTAACACAACAAGGGATGGTAGCACTCGTTACACAATCCACAGGCACACGTCTCCTCCCACTTCCACCCCACCCCAACCCATCTCTGTTTCCCCACGTATTTTATCACACACATTTAAGTTTTATTTCTCTCTGTTCATGTATTCAGAAGAAAAAGAAATTGGGCATTTTCACACATTTAGTAGATTTGAATATTTGAAACAGGACGATATTCTACATTCTTTCGTTATGGTGCTTCCCCTTCAAAAACTCCTGTTTCAGTTATTCAAACGATGAATTGCAAACCTTGACCATTAATGATTTATTCATAGAGGCACCAGCCATCCATGTCCAGTGCTGTTTTAGCCTTAATGAATTGCAAACCTGGAACCACAAACTGCATCGTCTGCATCGCCCACCGGCCAAATAGCTATCACGTGTCAAAAGTATTGAGTAACAGAATAGCAGTTATTATGACATTTGGCATTTCTGATCTGTAACTGCATATTATACAAAACATGTATTAGTAGTAAAAGTGGGCTGTCAGCATTGGCATTTGCTACAAATGAACCACATGCTCGAACGAGGGCAAAACGTGCAAAGTGAAGCAAAGTCAGTGCGCCACTTTGCTGGTCATAAAAGTAATCGCCCCCTCATCTCCACACTTCCATAAAAATATGAAAAAAAAGAAAAAAAAAAGAAAAAAAAAGATAACCCCCCCCCTCCCCAAAACGAAAGAAAAATACAACAAAGAAAATAGTAAACAAAGGCAACAACTTCATAT